CTACCAGAAATGGAAAGAGTTATCCTGCAGGAAGAAGTAGTGTGGGCACTCAATCAGTTGTCTAAGCGTAAAGCCCCAGGAGTTGATGGAATTCCTGCAGAGTTGCTGAGACCACTGCCAACAAAACCACTGACAGTGCTTTGCCAAAGTGTATGGAAGTCTGGTCAGTGGCCAAAAGAATGGAAAAGGTCATTATTTATCCCAATACCAAAGAAAGATGATACAAAAGACTGCTCCAACCCCTGAACCATAGCCTTGATACCACATGTGAGTAAAATTCTCTTGAAGATAATCCAGCAAAGTTTGAATCCAATCACCAACAGAGAACTGTCTGATGTACAAGCCAAATTTTGGAAAGGAAGAGGAATGAGTGATCATATTGCCAATCTACATTGGATGATGGAAAAAACAAAGGAATACCAAAAGACCTCTACATGTGCTTCACTGACTACACAAAAGCCTTTGACTGTGTTGACCAAACTGCCACAAAGAACTAGGAATATCACCACACCACATCCAACTCATTCAGTCACTGTATTCTGATCAGGCAGCCACTGTAAGAATGGAGACACAAAATGGTTCAGAATTGAAAAAGGCACTCAGCAAGGTTAAATCCTGTCACCTACTGTATTCTATTCAACATGTACACAGAAATAGATATGAGAAATGCACATTTGGATGAATCTACCACTGGGGTTAAAATCGGTAGTAGGAATATCAACAACCTCTGATATGCAGATGATACAACATTGTTCATTGAAAGCAAGGAGGATCTGGAGTGGCTAATCCTGAGAGTTAAAGATGAAAGTGAAAAATTTGGACTGCACCTTAACATCAAGAAAACAAAGATAATAACAACTGCAGAGAACACACAGGTCAGAGAGCAGATCGACAATGAGACCATCAAACCAGTAAAGGAATTCATCTTCCTGGGCCAATTGACCAAAGTGGTGACTGCAGCCCTGAGATCAGAAGGCATATAACACTTGGAAGAACTGCAATGTCTGGCATAAATAACATCTAGAAGAGTAAAGACATCAGCCTCACAACCAAATGCAGATTAGTTAACGCAATAATTTTTCCAATTGCTAGTTATGGCTGCAAAACCTGGACTCTGAAAAAGGCAGATAGGAGAAGGGTGGATGGCTTTGAACTTTGTTGCTGGAGGCACCTATTACGCATCCCATGGACTGCAAAACTAACAAAGAAGTCCTAGACCAAACCTCACCAAAAATATCACTTGAAGCCAAGATCAAGGCTGCCATACTGCGGTCATGTCATGCAAGCTGACTCACTCGAAAAGTCATGCTGAGAGTGAACAATGGAAAAGGAGAAGTGGCTGCCCTAGTACCCGCTGGTTGGACACTATAAAGGAGGCAATGCGAAACAGAGGGACATGGAGAGTGCTGATCCATAGAGTGGCCAAGGGTCAGCCACGACTGAATGGCTGACAACGATGAGCACTCATCAAGCATTATTTGTCAAAAACATGGTAGATTACCTGTTTTTTGGACCAAAAGTATAACCCCTCCTGGTCCTATTTGATCATTTAGCTACATTCAATATTATCCATCACAAAATACCTAAAACTGCCTACAAGGGTTGGTGACTAGAGGCATATCTGACTATAATTCAAAGCATTGTTTCCATCCTTAAAAGCCCTATCAAGCTTGCCTCTTAGATATCTGGAGAACCACTTTCTATTGTTAGAACCATCCTGTCTGATGCACTCATCTCAGTTGGGGATGTTACTGTATCTATCTCCAGTGTGTAAGAAACATGATTGATGGGATTTTTGTTAAGATTTCCAGCTTATGGAATAGTTTCTGCAAGGTCAAGCTAGTGCTGACAATATGACAATGTTTCATAAAGCAGTTAGAATTGAACAATTCATAGGGTGTTGAAAGCTAATCCAACTTAATATTTGTTTTTGCTTAACTAATTGCTGTATTCTTATTTACTTTCATTTTAATTATGTAATGATTTGTATTGTCAGTATATGTTCACAGTTGTAAATTGCCACAAATTTTAAAATTTGGCAACATAGAAATCTAATGAATAAATATTCAGCAATAATGGTAAAAACTGATCTTCCATTGATGTTTTCTTTTAAAAAACATTTCAGAAGTGATGCTTTTTATTTGATTATAATATATTCATAAATCACCGGCTTTAAGGCATAAGGTCTGTCTACGTCTGTAATACCTATGCTGGTCCCCTTTTCTAGACCAAGCCATATATACTGGAGCTCATTTTGCCACTTTCCTATGGCCAGAAGACCCTTGTTCTGCAGATTAAAGGAAAAGATCTCCAACAAAACATTATGCTAGTACAGGGATGCTACAAAGTAGGAAAGTCACACCATACTCAATTCCAATATCCACATGAATTTTTAAAGCAAATATCTTATGGTTCAGTGTTTGGGGAACTGTATATTTTAAGAATAGGTATTTTTATGTATAGTTCAAAAAAGGTTGCTGCCTGTGAATGTTCAAGTCATATAAAAGAGTGAGCAACCATTTATGAACGGAAAGCACTGTAGGGGAAGGACAGGAAAGGGCTAGCTCATTTTAGATCCTGTACCCTTCCCCAGTTTAATAAGTATTAATGTTTAGTGTTAATGTTTAATCATGTTTAGCTTCTGCTGCTCCTTTTGCTGACAGGAACTCATTGATATGATTACATTTGATAGTGTGATAATGTTAGGAAATAGTGATTAATCAGAAGCTCCCTAGCAAATGGAGGGTGGCTTGTTTGGTTCCTCTACCTTTCCTTTCACTTTATACATGGAAGGGAAATAGGGAACACTATAAAATAAAAACCTCATTACCAACAGATTCAAGGAACCTTCAGTTACTTGCCCCAGCTCCTGCCACCTAACAGTTCGAAAGCATGCAAACAGGAGTAGATAAATAGGCACCACTCCAGTGGGAAGGTAACAGTGTTCCATGTGCCTCAGGTTATAGTCAATGCTGGTTCCCTCAGCTAAGAAATGGAGATGACTACCGTTCCCTAGAGTAGGAAGGGGAAAATTTTACTGTTACCTTTATTAATGAGACTATCCATTAAATATTACTGAGAATATGGTTAAAACTCATTCTTCTTAAGTTCACTCGTAATAATGTTAATTTCATACAAGTTTTATTGTTTTATATGGTCTACTACCTGGCCTTTGAGGGATTCAGAAGACATGTTCATTCTTCTCTACAAACACCTTGATAGCAGCAAGCCATTAAAGCTTATATTGCTCTGAATTACTATCCATGTTTGGTGATACCTACAACATTATTCAAGCTCATCATCAATATTCAATATTCAATGGTGGTGCAGTGGTTAGAATGCAGTATTGCAGGCTAATTCTGCCCACAGCCAGGTGCTCGATCCTGACTGACTCAGCCTTCCATCCTTCAGAGGTCAGTAAAATGAGGACTCAGATTGCTGGGGGCAATATGTTGACATTTGTAAACCATTCAGAGTGCTGTAAACCACTATGGAGCAGTATATAAGTCTCAGTGCTATTGCTATATTCACTGGATTCATACCTAGAAAATAGAGTAGCACCTAAAAATGTGGGTTGGACATAACTCATCCTCAGGATGATTAATTATATGGGCAATATAAAATACATTAAGTTCTTTTAAAAGTTTTTTTTTAAATATGCACATTCTCTACGGAAAAAGTGACCAGCATGTAATAATTATAACATTCTGGATCCAAAAGAAAATTAATCCCAACAAAATTCACAAATTATAAGATAACTCATAAATGTGCCAACTGCTTGCACTTTCCACAATGCATAAATAATAACACCATCAGGCTTTGAGTTTGATTTAGCACTATGTATAAACTGGAAAGCTGCGCTTCGTTTCTTCTAACAAGTAATTTCCCAGGTCACAGGTGCTAAAAGAATCATGGAGAGAACCACCCACCATCCCTTTACTAGAGAACCTACAAAGAGCAATTAAGCAACATATACTACCACACAGCATATTCCCACAGAGACTAAAATTCTTCACAATTCTGACTTACTCCTGGCAAAATGACAAACTATGAAGAAGATGACTGCAGGTATTTAGAACAAAAATCACCTCATCACATGTAGATTGGTTTATTTTTTTAAGTCAAAAAAGGAAAGTCAAAATGGTGTAAACAGCAATAACGTACATTAGACTTTTGATTCTAATACCATGAGAATATGTTCCCATATTTCTGAAAGATATTTCCCAATTTCTGAGTGTTAATCTAGTATGTGAATTGTTTTTTATTTGGAAACAGTAAATGCTGAAAAGGGACTAAAATGTGATGTAGTTCCAGTCTGGTGAATGAAGCAACATTGCTGAATACTCCTATTATGTGTCTTGATGCACAGTATGAAGAAACTGTAACGGAAGGAATAAAGAACTGGGGGAGAAAACTGGGAAATTCGCATACTACAAAAATATGAATGGGTAGAGAAGTGGGAATATTCAGTGACATTCAGAAAGGCAAATCAACCAAGTGAAATAGATTTGCTATGAGAATGACCTGGCTACTCTGTTTAGGAGAAAAAAGATAAGGAAGCGACAGAGATGCCCATATCAAATCACCTTCTGGAACTAAAATTACTACAAAACAAAAAAAATAATCTTCACTTTTACATTAGAAATATACAATTTGTATTTTAAACTTGCAGTATTAAATGCCTTTTTATTAAAGAAAAGCAATACTGTTTATTCTGGAAGGGCTCTAATGTAATGGCTGGAATTCTTATTATTTTAAACCCAGTCAGTATGTGTTTTTTTCAACTCCCCACTGGAACATTTTACAATTAAAATTAATTCAGGTCTGAAAAATTCATTGACCTTTACGCTTTTAACAATTTTCTAGCTCACAGATCACTGTCAATATTTGCAAATCTTTAAAATTATATTTCATTGGCACCACCTTTCTTTCCCATATTAATATTTCTTTACACATGTATGCTTATCCATATCAAAGAAGAATGAACAGCTGCTACTCACAGCAAATCTCTGGGGTCCTACAGCAGGTCTTGGCTGGGTTGGGACTGGCAGCAAAGGCACTAAAAACAAGGAGCACATCTTTTAAATCAATTTGTTTTAGCCAAAAATCCAGGCCATTTTCATATGCAACCACATTCACAGGCAGCTGCTGTCCCATTCTCCTCAACAGCTGTAAGCAGACAAAATGTGTTAACACCATGCAATAGGGCAATTAAGATGCTGATGGCATAGGCTACAAAATTAGACAAGGCATAGGCAATTTGCAATATTTGTCTTCTTTCACACATTACTGAATGAGGGACAAAATCTTGACAGAATGGCATCAGAGGCATGGCATGATTTCCTCAAATTCCAGATGCCACACCAATTCCATTGGTTAATTCACATTAATTCAATTATGCATGATAGTACCATATATATTTAGTAGAAAGTAAGACTAGTTAAGCTCAGTTGCATATATTCCTGAGTAAACATGTTCTATATTAGAATACCATTCACACTGTGTTGCACCTCTCCTAAGATAAGGCAATCAAATGATTTAAATTTTTGCAAATGGAGCAAATGGAAAAAGGAACTTTACAAAATAAAGAAAAACATGTGTGAAGGAGTCTGCACTGAATTAGTTGTTCTAGAAGTAAGCTCTCTCTCTCTCTCTCTCTCTCTCTCTCTCTCTCTCTCTCTCTATATATATATATATATATATATATATATATATATATATATATATACACATATACACATATATACACACACACAAATATATATACACACACACACACACACACACACACACACACACACACAATGACGTGGGAAAATACCCGAACAAAGCTGAATGCCATACATGTAAGTACCCGCGAAAACTTGAGAAAACATATATGTATGTGTGTGTGTGTGTGTGTGTGTGTGTGTGTGTATATATATATATATATATATATGTTATATCCCACCTTCTAAAAATAAACAGTTAAGGCTGAAAGCAGCAGTCCTTGTAAAGAAAGGCAGCAAACAGGAAAATGTTCACAGATAGCTCCAATAAGTAAAAGTTCCCACGAACTAAATCCAAGACTCAACAAGATTCTTCAGATCAAAATCCTTCACAAAATAATTCCAATAAGTAGAAGTTCCAACGAATTAAATCCAAATCCCAACAAGATATTTCAGATCAAAATCCTCCAGACTGTGCTCTTCAGTTCTCTCTTGCAAATAGACACTTTGTTCCGGACAAAGTGCAAAGTCATATCTCTCCCTTTATAGAGTAACTAATTAGTCTAATTGCTGGTCTGCCCTCCTACTGTATCCTCGTTGGTTCCTCCTTGTCAGGAGACGTCTTGTCCTGACATCTACCCAGCAATCATCCAAATTATCATCTTCTTCACCTGAAGATATCATCTGTTCCTCATTATCACCCGTTCCCGGCTGACCACCTAATTGAAGGGTGGAGGAGTTTGAAGGTTCAAGCCGACCTTGCAAATCAAATGCATTCATCTCCTCCTCATCGTTAGAACTTGCTGATTCATATAAGTCCTCCTCGCTGGAGCTGTCATTCAAAAAACCTGTAGCAGATGCCGGAATCACAACACTATCCCTCACCGCAGGGCCCTTCCCCCGGGTCTGGCGATCCGGATGCGGTTTCGAAGGGAAGCGTGCATGAAAGTCTCGAAGCAGATCCGAAGCATGAAGTGTAGACGCATCCGTCCAGGAACAAACCTCCGAGTCATCTATCCTCCTCCTGACCAAATACTGGAAGCGACCTTTGAGCCAACGGGAATCAAGGACGTCGACCACCGTATCGTCAACAGCAGGCTCCTCAGAAGGCAATGATAACGGACCCGGTTCAGCAGAATCACGTAATCGACAAACAGAAGAATCAGGAATCAAAAGAGATCGATGAAAGACGGGGTGAATACGCATGGATCGTGGCAAAGTGAGGCGGTATGCCACGGGATTAATAACTGCCTCAATCGGGAACGGACCAATAAACCGATGATCAAGTTTTCTAATAGGGCGATCGACCTTCAGATGTTTTGTAGATAGCCACACTTTATCACCCACAACTAACGGAGGTGTATCTCGACGGGACCGATCTGCAAACCGCTTATAATCTTCTTTTGCCTTGTTCAATTGTTGTATCAGTAGACGTCGAACTGCGTGTAGTTCTTCCAAAAACTCTCGGGTCTCAGGAACCGGGGAATCCATCATAGTTAATGGGAAGAAACGCGGATGATAACCCATATTTGCAAAAAATGGCGTGACACGGGTGGAGGTATGCTGCGAGTTGTTAAACGCGAATTCTGCTAACGGGAGGTATTTCACCCAATCGTTTTGTCGCAAATTAACAAAACATCTCAAATATTGAGTAAGAATCCCAATCACCTTCTCCGTCCCGCCATCAGTTTCCGGATGGTGCGCTGACGCTAAACATACTTTCACTTGCAAAGCCGCCATTAACTGTTTCCAAAATTCTGCCGTAAACTGGACCCCACGATCAGAAACCACTCTATCAGGCAGTCCATGTAGACGGAAGATATGTTGCAAAAATAACTGAGCCGTAGTGCGGGACGATGGTAATTTCCGACAGGGAATGAAATGGGCCATTTTAGTCAACATATCCACTACCACAAGCACTGTTGTGAACCCTGATGAAGACGGTAAATGTGTCAGAAAGTCCATAGAGATCGCTCCCCATGGTCTACTTGGAGTCGGCAAGGGTTGCAAAAGTCCAGGAGGTGCACCGGATGCTGCTTTCGCTTGCCTACATTGAACGCAAGAAGCGACGTAAGAAGACACATCATGACGAACTCGAGGCCACCAAAAAGTCCGAGTGACCAAATGCAAGGTCTTGTGTAATCCAAAATGACCAGCGGCTGGGTTATCATGACATTGTGTCATGATGAGAGCCCTCAACGGTCTGGTAGGCACATATAATAAACCCCGATATCGAAGCAGATCGTCTTCAAAAGACCATGGAGAAGTTGGGCCAATGTCCTCCCGTCTCTGCTGCGTCCACGCATCCAAACGTTGCGCCTCTCGTAGTTGGGCCCGTAAATCTACCGGTTCCTGCAGTACAGCTAGAGATTCCGGTGGTAACACTGTCCGTAAAGGAAGAGGATCTTCGGCACAAGTATACTCCGGTTTCCGAGATAATGCATCCGCCCTCCGGTTCTGACCACTTGGAACGTAAGTAACCGAGAAATTAAATCTGGCAAAAAATAACGACCAACGAATCTGCCTTTGATTCAATTTCCTAGCCGTGGTCAAATGTTCCAGGTTCCTATGATCTGTCCGAACCTCCACCTTGTGTCGAGCTCCCTCCAAATGATGTCTCCAAGTCTCAAAAGCAACCTTAATAGCTAACAACTCTTTTTCCCAAATGGTATAGTTGCGTTCCGAAGCTGTAAGCTTCCTAGAATAATAAGCGCAAGGAAACAAAAGAGCGCCATCCTCCGAAGCTTGTAACAGCACTGCTCCGATAGCGACATTAGAAGCATCTGCCTCGACCACAAATGGGCGATCCGGATCAGGATGCTTCAATATGGGTTCAGTTATAAATGCTTTTTTCAAAGTGTCAAAAGCCTGTTGTTGTGGAGGCCCCCACACAAATGGAACCTTCTTACAAAGAAGCTGGGTTATGGGATCCATTATCTTCGCAAAACCTGGAATGAAAGTCCGATAATAGTTGGCAAATCCTAAAAGTCGTTGCACATCTTTAACCCGACGAGGAGCTTCCCACCTACACAACGCCTCAACCTTTTTGGGGTCCATAGCAATGCCCACAGGAGAAATAATGTGTCCCAAGAATTCGATAGACGACTGAAAAAAGAAACATTTTTCTAATTTAGCATAAAGTTTATGTTCCCGAAGACGCTGAAGCACTTGACGCACCTGCTGAAGATGTTGCTCTTTAGATTTTGAATAAATCAAAATGTCGTCCAAATATATGACAACAAACTTATCCAACATGTCTCGAAAGATATCGTTCATTAAATGTTGAAATACAGCAGGAGCGTTGGTCAAACCAAATGGCATAACGGTGTACTCGAAATGACCATAACGAGTGCCAAAAGCCGTCTTCCACTCGTCTCCCTTACGCATCCGAACCAAATTGTAAGCTCCACGTAAGTCAAGTTTCGTGAAAATTGTAGCTTCCTGTAACCGCTCCAACAATTCGGAGATGAGCGGTAAAGGATAGCTATTTCTCACAGTGATAGCATTTAAGCGTCTATAGTCACAACAAAGACGAAGTTCTCCCGACTTCTTCTTGACAAAGAGAACGGGTGCTGAAAGAGGGGATGACGAAGGTCGAATAAATCCCCGAGCTAGATTTTTATTCAAAAATTCTCGAAGTGCAACTAGTTCAGACTCAGACAAAGAATACAACCTCCCCTTTGGTAATGGAGCGTCCGGTATCAAATCCACGGGACAGTCGTAAACACGATGTGGTGGTAATTGATCTGCCTCCTGTTCACTGAAAACATCGGGGAAATCCGACAGCTCTGAAGGAATCGAGGCAGCAGAAGCGACAATATGTTGGCCTGTGCAGACATGTCTCAGGTGGTCCACACATTGCAGGCTTGGAAAAGAAACAGCGTTCTGCGCCCAAGCCACCAACGGATCGTGTAGACGCAGCCAGGATACTCCGAGCACCAAAGGAAGATGGAGGTTCGAAGTGATATAAAAACTTATCGCCTCCTCGTGATCCCCAATACGCATACGCAGTGGTTGGGTGGCAAAGCGAATAGGTCCCGACTTGAGTTCGCGCCCATCTACGGTTTCCACCTGCATGGGGGGATTCACAGGCACTAAAGGAACTTTGAAATGTTTTACGAAATCATAATCCATAAAGCTAGTCGTAGCCCCTGAATCCACCAGTGCCACGGCAGGGATTCCCTCCTTCCGAGATTGCAAGAATATGCGAGTGTCCAAAAGTAAATGTCGAGGAGGGCCAGAATTAACTTCAGCAATTTGAGATGAAAGTGAATACTGTGCCCGACCTAAGGTTTCCCTGAGGTCGGGCCTACCCCGTTTCCCGACGGACCAGCAATGGGTTTTGATACAGGTCCACAAGTCCCCTTCCGAGTGCAGGAATTTGCAAAATGTCCCGAACCCCCGCAATAAAGGCACAAACCTTCCTGAAATCTTCTCGATCGTTCCTGAACTGTTAAACGAGGGCGGAGTGCGCCTATCTCCATCGGCTCCTCTGCTGGAATTCTGGATTGGAAAACCCTCATAGACGGGGTGCGTGAACGAGGAAACACAGGTGGCTCTGCAACGGTCCGTTTACACCCACGATGTTGTAGGCGAGCTTCAATACGTAAGCATTGAGTAATCAATGTGTCCAAAGTTGAAGCACGCTCTGCATGAATTAGTTCATCCTTGATAATGTCGGACAAACCCTCTTGGAATGCTGCCATGTGAGCTGGTTCATTCCAGGTGGAGTCCATACACAACAAGCGAAATTCTGCAACGTATTCTTGCAATGAGTGTTTACCTTGAATAATATCCCTCAATTTTCTGTCCACAGTTTGAGATTTAATTGGATTCTCAAACATAACGTTCATCTGTTGAATAAACCCCTGGAAATCGTCCAGTAATGGACTATCTTGTACTAATAAGGGAGTAGCCCATTTGGCAGCCTGCCCGGTTAACAAACTAATAATAAAGCCAATTTTAACTCGATCGGTTGGAAAATCCTCCGGCCTCACAGAAAAATACAATTGGCACTGACCCAAAAATGTTGAAAACATGTCCGTTTGCCCAGAAAATTTATCTGGCATAGCTATCGGAATTTTTCTCACAGGGGGTGCAGGGGGAACTCCAGCTGCAGCCGAAACAGTTTGAGAATTGGCAACAAACGATAATAATTGTGTTACCTGATTTTGAAGGGATACGTTGCTCTGGAGTAATTGATTTATTTGCATCTGTTGCTGATCCACCAATTGTTGCATTTGAGTTGAATCCATCGTTGCAAAGATGGTCTGTAGGTCCGGAACAAAAATGTTATATCCCACCTTCTAAAAATAAACAGTTAAGGCTGAAAGCAG